TCCCTGAGGCCGCCTCACGCTGGGACCGGGAGGACTCAGTGGCCACCCCACCAGATCCACCATCTGCACAGAGCCTCGTGTCAGGGGGAAGAGGTGTCCCGCTTCAGGCAGGGGAGCAGGGCGGGGACCCCCTCATTGCCTGGGGACCCAGGGGCCCACTAGGCACCGTCTGCCCAGGCACGGATGGATGAGTTCGGCGGCGCAAGCCAAGGGGCGCACATCCAGCCCTTTTCATGCTCAGCCAGTTTAATGGCCCCCATTAATTTCAAAACACACACATTCCCACAAGCTCCATCCTCCTCGGCTCAGCACCTCGGGGACGCGGGCGGGCATGCAGGTGCCCGTGCCCGCCAGGCAGCCCCAAGGACAGAGCAGCGGGGGACAGGACTCACTCCAGGGCCACCACTCCCTGGCACAGCGGGGAGGAGGGGGTGGCTGGGGTCTGTTCTCACAGGTTGTTGAGCACCTGTTGTAGAGAAGGGCTGCCAGGACAGAGCTCGAAGCTGGGAGACGGGAAGTCGGCCTTGAGGCTCACTTCCTGCTGTGTGACCCTGAGCAGGCAGCAGACGGCACCCTCTCTGGGCTTCAGGTGTGTCACTGTCCCCCTCCATGGGGACTGCAGCTGCGCCAGGGCAGGCACTGGTTCCCCAGAGCCACACCAAGACCCCAGGAAGTACATTTCGACCCCATCCAGCAAAACGAAGGAACCACTTGCGGCCCACAGCTGGGACAATAAAAGGAGCATGCCCCTGAGGGGGTCCGAGGCTCCCACAGCCCCTCTCCACTGCTGACCGCCTCCCAAGGGCATCTGATCAGTCCTTCATCCGACAGACATTTGCTCAAACCCAAGACAGTGCGAGTTTTCAGGTCCAGGCTCCGGCTCTCCGGGCTGGCCCTGTGAAAGTGGAAGGTTCTGGCTAAGGACCAGGGCGCTCAGAAGTCCTTGGGGGCCGGAGGGGGGCAGAAGGGTCCCAGGGCCTCCCAGGGTCCCACCCACCAGCCATAGCTCTGTTCGTCAGGAGGGCATCTCAATAATTCAGCAGGAATCCATCAGTCACGGATTTATGTAACCACTGCTCAACCTTGTGGAGCGTCACCCGGGCCAGCCGCCGGGTTCTGTAGCACGTCGGAGGGAGGACACCCGGACCCCAGGCTTCCCCACCAGCCTCCCTGGTTCCCCCAGCCCCTCGCTCCCAGATTGGACCCCAGGGTGGGCTGGTGAAACGGCGAGCTTGACTGAGCCCCACCTCCACCCAGCACAGCAACCCTGAGACCCCTCATCTGAACACGGTGGGGGGTGTCTCCGGACCTTCCCCAGGCAGAAGCAGATGTGTGCAGGGGGGAGGCACTCCTCTCTTGCTGCTCCTGTACCCCGCTGCTTACGAGAGGATAGAAAGCGTGGCTTTGGCAGCACCCCCTCCCAGTGCTGGACACGGGCCAGGAAGTCTGAGGATAAGTCCTTCTCTGCCCTGAGAGCCCTTAGTCCTTGGGGGACTCCCGGGGCAGGAGGAGGGAACACAGCATGGCCTCCCAGAAGCTGTGTGCGTGTGCCCCGCCGCCCGTCCGCAGAGCCCAGCGCACCAGGCCCGCGCCCGTGTAGCCGCTGGCCGGCTGGCCTCAGCAAACACACTGAAATGTGAAGTGACAGATAAAGCGATTTATGGCGACAGTTTAGCATCAGATCGCTTCCCACAAGGCAGTCGGCGTCCCTGCGGCCCCCCTGCTTCAGTCCATCGAGGCGGTCTCTAAATCACTGGGACGCGGTGGCGGGAAGGGCTGGGGCCTGGGCATCCACGGGCTCGCCGGGAGGGGGCATGCAGGCCGCAGATTTTCACAAATCAAAGCCCTAGGTCTTAAGGAAACGCAGCGCCACTTCATGCCTTATTTTAAATCAATAAGCGGCTTAAAGAACTCCCGGCGAGGCCGGCTTGTCGCTGGGAGACATGGCTTCCCGCCCGTTCCCCAGCACCTGGACTGCGCAGCCCCGCAGGATTAACCAGTCCTGGCGTGGTGTGGTGTGGCGTGCCCGGTGCTGGTCACATCACGGCCCATTCAGCAGCCGGGCCAGACTCCCGATGATTGATGGGGGTCTTACAACTGGACCCATGTTGTCCACACCATCTGCCCAGGGATGGGGGGCACAGGGCAACATCATCCACCAGAGGAGAATGTAAGGGGCAGCTTGGGCACTGGGGTCCCTGCCACGCCAGTTGGAACTGCCCTGACGCAAAGGACATCTCTTTCTGGGCACAAAGACTCGCCTATCCCCCCATGACACCCCATAGGTCAGGGCTGGGCGGCCAGACAGAACGGGGTCTGTGTTTGCCCTGGACGCTCCTGGTCTGGGACCCAGCTGCCGGTTGGCCACAGAAGCCACAATGAAGGTCACACCTCCCCACCCCCGCCTTGGCAAAAATGCCACCAGTGCCCTGCAGGCCACAGTACCCCCAGGGTGGGGATCACTGGCCCCGATCTCCCCACCAGCTCCTCACAGCCTCTCCTCTCTCTAATTGGGGGCCCATGGAACCCTCCAGCTTATCTCAGTCACATGGCAGCCCCAATTTAATTAAGATGGATGCGGCAGGTCCCACGGGCAGGAGCTTGGGTCTCGCCCGGCACGGCCCGAGCAAGCAGCCTTGGCCAGCGGCCCAGAGGCAGGGCTGAAGTGGCCTGTGGAGGCCCACAACTTCTCAGGCAACCTTGGGGCCTGGTCCTGCAGACATAAACCCTGCTATCCACAGGTAGGCACCCCCACACTCTGCACCAGCTCCCTACATCACCCCAACACACTATCACACATACATCCCAATACACATTCACCATCACACACCCCCCAACAGCTACACATGCTATCACACACACAGTACACACCTACAGTCCATCACCATACTATCACACACTCACATCAGCCCCATTCCCTCACATACACACAGAAATGCCTACCACATCACTCTCAAACACCTGTTGGCGGGCCAGGCTGCAGGGCTGTCCCTGGAGCCCCAGCTGGGAGGGACCGGCAGGGCTGGGAGGGACGCCATGGGGCTGGGAGGGACCCCGCGGGGCTGGGCCCTCTGTGGCAGGAAACAGCAGGGTGCGCCCAGTCCCAATCCTGTTCCAATCATTCCCAGGGTGCTTGGGATGCTACAACCCACACAGCCACAGCCCCCACCCCACCAGCAGGGATGAGCTCCGCCCCCAGTCAACACACACACAGTCCTGCAGGAAGCAGGGCCCAGAGCCTCTGCCCAGTCCAGCTGGCACTGCTGTCCACGGGCCACCAATGCCCGGGGACCAACACTGTTCCAGTCTCAAAAAGCGAAATGTAGACGTTCCCACCCGGGATAATCGCTCTCTCCTCTCATCCATTGTGGCGGCTCAGCGGTCGGCGCCGAGCGCCAATTATTCACGGCTAATGATTATAATCAAGTCAAATAGAATTTAATGGACACGTCTTCTCCTCCTGCTTGAAACTTTACATATGAATTAAGCACATATGGGTTCCACGCGGCCAGACGCGGATTTATGCGGCTCTGACAAAAGCCCTGCCTTGCCCACGACTTTCATTCCGCTAATAAACAGGCTGATTTACGGGCGCCCAGCGACCGCGGGCTCTGCTGCCCCCTGGCGGTCGGCGGGCCGAGGGCCGGAGGGGGACGTGCCTGGCCGCCTCCAACTGCCTCCTCCTGGGGAGACAAGCTGTGAGGTGCTGGGTAAACTGAGGCAGGGGACGGGAAGGACCACCAAGACAGACAGTAGCGTTGGGGGTTAGGGCTTAGGGGACGGAGCCCAAAGCTGCCCTCAGGCTCTGGCCAAGTTATCCCCAGCTCCCATGGCCCTGGCAAGGCTGCCCACCATCCCTCCCAACTGTGCCCAGGAGGAACCAGAAGCCAGAAGGGAACACGGGGAAGCCAAGTCCTTGGTACCTCTTCGAATGAGAAGCAGACGGAGCCACCGCATCCCAAGCATGTAAATCACCCACCACTCACAGCCCCATGGACACATTCCATTTGCCTCCCTCAGACACCGGCCCACCTGGGCCCCTACGTCGACGCCCTGTCCCCTGGCTGGAAAGACAACAGAGAGGACAGGCCAGGATCAGCAGCTGTCCTCAGCACCCTGGAGGGGGACCTGTGTGGCTGGGGTAAGCGCAGAAGGCTCTCCTCCTGGCCCACACCTGCCAGACCTGAGCCCAGCTGGGCATGTCTCCCCCGCCTCAGTGCTGCCGCCCCTTCTTGGAGGCCCGTTGAGAAAACAGCACAGCCAGCAGACAGAACTGCACCAGTACCAAGGCTGTCCTGGAGCTTGGCCGGCAGCAACTCCGGCAGGTCCCATGGCCAGCACGGCCAGCATGGCTGCCTCGGGTAGATGAAAGGGCAGGGAGGCAGGGGCCAGCGGGGGGCAGGCTGGTCCAGCAGGGCTCGGCCCAGTGAATGCAGCACCCCCTCCCAGAGCGCCCTTGCCTCTGCTGCCCACCTAGGACAGAAGGGGCTACGGACTCAGTGGCCGGTTGTCTGTGGGACTTCTCCAGGCCCATGCTGGCTCGGAAGCAAGCCACAGTCCTTCCCTGGCGCTTGACCTCAGCCTGCCCCCACCCCACCCGCAGCCCGCCCCACACTCCTCACCATAAAGTGCCGAGCCAGCAAAGGCAAACGCTGGGTGGGCAGCAGCCAGCCAGGGCACCAGTCCACTCCACCCAACCCTGACACCTGCCCACGCTCCCCCACCTGTCCAGGTATGATGGAGACGCAGCATGGGAGCCAGGCATGGGGACTCGGCCGCCTCCACCCAGCACAGACCAAACACTCCACTTCCAGCCTCCCTGGCCCGGCTCCAGCGGAGCGCCCCACCCTCCTTCCCCAGCTGCTAATGGGTCCTGGGTCTGGGCATCCCCGCAGGGGCTCAGGCGCCAGCGGGACCCCCTCGCCTGGCGCCCGAGCCACGCTGGAGCTTGCCGCGTGGGCGGCCAGGGGCAGAGGTGACCGAGGCGGCCGTCCACTCACCAGCATTAACGATGGCATCCACTTCCAGCTTGGTGATATCACCCCGGAACAGGGAGAGCTTCTCATTGAGCTGTTTGTCCTTCTTGTATTTGGGCTGCTCCACCTTCTCGGCCACTCCTGGACAGGCAGGGACCACCGCGGGGTGGGGATGGGGGTCGCAGAGAGGCCACCCTCCGCTGCCCATCCCCACGCAGGCCCGAGCATGGGGGGGTGCCCGGCACGGATGAATGCTCTTCGCGCCCAGTTTTGAACGAACGGTGAGGTATGAGTGATCCAAAAGCCGCACTCGGCCATATGCAGGGGCTGGGGGCTCCTGACAACCCAGCAGGGGCGGGCAGGTGGCTCCAGTGGCCAGGCCTGGACTCCCAGTGGGTCCTGGCGAGAGATGGTGCCGAGTGCCTGCCTGCCGCCAGTGCTGCCCAAGCTGCCGGCTCCCGCTGCCCACGCACGCCCTGCAACGCCTACCTTTTGCCATCTCCTTCCACGTGGGGATCTTCTTGAGCCTGACGAAGTCCTGGCAGAAGTAGTGCTCCTCTCGCTGCTTGTCGCTCAGGCCCTTCAGAAAGGCTGCAGGTGGGGGTGGGGAGGAGAGTCAGGGGGAGCTGGCTGGGGGCGCCCCACCCTCAGGGTCACCCCGCCATGCAGGGTGCATCCCAGCTTTCCACCACTCCCAGGTCAGAGCCACGCCTCCATCCATACAGGCCCTCATGTCTTCGAGGGCAGAAGGACAGCCATCCTTGGAGAACTACATCCCGGGGGTCCTAGGGATCCCTTGAGATGACCCCAGCAAGACCCTAAGACAAAATTGCCCACACTAAATTAGGAGCACTGAGAGGCAGGGAGGGGACCTGTGACCACAGCTGGGAAGCGGGTAGTCAGATCCCCACTGGATCACGGACTCTGCGACCCCTGTTCCAAGCCGTGCCCCCCAGGCTTTGGCCAGCCAGACCAGGTCAGGGCCCCCAAGTGCCACTAGGAGGCTTCCAGGAAGCTCACGGCTCACGCACTCCCCCTGCAGGCTGCTAGCCGCCTGCACACCCAGGCTCTGAGCTGGGGGACAAGCCCTCCTGGGACCACTGCCCCCACTGACCACTCGCAGGGAGCGGCCACCAAGCACAAAGCAAACGCACGGTAGACATGCAGAGCTGGGAGGGCATTCAGTGTGGATGGTGGCCTTCTGGAAGCTTCCATGCAAACACCATTTCCCTGCCAGTCACTTAGTTCTATTGTAGGCTCTGTCCCCTCACCTGCCCACAGTGGTGGCGGTGGTGAAGCTGAACCCACCCAGCCACACCGACCACAGGTGTGCTCAGGGCAGGGTACGGCCATCCCCAACCTGTCCGATGCGTGGCTGAACAGGAGCCACGCTGCCCATCAGCCACTTCCCTCACCTGCCACAGGCACCTTATTCCACACGGATCCTGCACTCAGCACAGGGCTGGGACTTGAGGAGGAGCTGCCTGCAAGCAGTGCACGTCAGACCCTGGCGGGGGTGTGCAGCATTTGGAGTGTGGGGTGCCAGGGACACTGAGGTCACATGACCATGTTTTTGCCAGGGTGGCTGCTGGGCCTGGCAATTAGGGGGTCCGAGCCCCACCTGAGTGCCCGCTCTGGCTCCTGACTCGGGGAGCAGGCGGCGGGGCGGTTCGGCACGCCTAGATCCCTGCCACCCATGTCAGACACTTGGATTACGCTCCTGACTGCTGGCTTCTGCCCTGCCCAGCCCTGGTCACCACAGGCATTTGGGAAGCGAACCAGCAAATGGGGCCGCTCTGTGTCGCTTTCCCTGCTGGATTCAAAACATTTGGTTTCTTAAATTTGTTGTTGTTGGGCCCAGTGTGGTGGCATAGCAGCTTAAATCCTTACCTTGAACACGCTGGGATCCCATATATACACCAGTTCTAACCCCGGCAGCTCCACTTCCCATCCAGCTCCCTGCTTGTGGCCTGGGAAAGCAGTCGAGGACGGCCCAATGCCTTGGGACCCTGCATCCGCGTGGGAGACCCGGAAGAGCTCCAGGCTTCCGGCTTCGGATTGGCGCAGTACCGGATGTTGCGGTCACTTGGGGAGTGAACCATCTGTCGGAAGAGCTTCCTCTCTGTCTCTCCTCCTCTCTGTATATTTACCTTTCCAATAAAAATAAATCTTTTTTTCTTTTAAATTGTTGTTCTTTCCCTAAATGGTCACAACAGCCAGAACTGGGCCGGTCTGAAGTCAGGAGCTTTTTCCGCATCTCCCACGTGGGTGTGTGGGCTTAAGCCATCCTTCACTGCTTTCTCAGGTGCCTTAGCAGGCTGGAGGGGAAGCAGAACAGCCAGGACTCAAACCAGTGCCATATATATTAGGATGCTGTTGTAGCAGGCAGTGGCTTAACTCATTCTATCACAGATCTGACCCATTTTGATGCTTTCTAAGGAGTCAAGGTCCCTTGGCTTGGCCCAGTCCCCTCTAGCATCCCTCACAGCTCACAGCCCATTTCTCTGCCTGTCTGGTCTCCTACTAAAAGATACACACATGTATTAATTTATTTGAAAGGCAGAGTGACAGAGGAGGGGTAGTGTTCCCAGCTGGTTCTCTCTCCAAGCGGCCACCACACCCAGAATTGGATCAAGCCAAAGTCACAAGCCAGGAGCCTCTTCCTGGTCTCCTGTTCAGGTGCAGGGTCCCAGAGGACTTGGGCCAGCCTCGATTTGCTTTTCCAGGCCACAAACAGGGAGCCGGAGGGAAAAAGGAACTGCCAGGTCTCAAACCATCACTTGATATGGGATGTTGGCAGTGAAACCCCAGCTCCAGCCCCTCCGTGCCCCCTCCTTGAGGGGCTGCCCTCCCCTTCCTCCTGCACAGGACCCCGGCAGGACAGCCCAGGATGCTGGGATACGGAAGGAGCCAGGCATTCCCTGAGCTCCAGCGGCTGGGGTAGGGGCAGAGATGGCTGTGTGTAGTGCAGGCGGCCTGAGTAGAGGCAAAGTCAGCAGAGCGACCCCAGCCCCTCTTCTGTTCCCAGAGCTAGGAAAACTGGGCCCGGCGCGGTGGCGCAGTGGTTAAGGTCCTAACCTTGCACGCTCGGGATCCCATATGGGCGCCGGTTCTAATCCCGGCAGCCCCGCTTCCCATCCAGCTCCCTGCCTGTGGCCTGGGAAAGCAGTCGAGGACGGCCCAAAGCTTTGGGACCCTGCACCCGCGTGGGAGACCCGGAAGTGGCTCCTGGCTTCAGATCGGCATAGCATCGACCGTTGCGCTCACTTGGGGAGTGAATCATCGGACGGAAGATCTTCCTCTCTGTCTCTCCTCTCTGTATATCCGCCTTTCCAATAAAAATAAATCTTAAAAAAAAAAAAAAGGTTAAGGTCCAGAGCTAGGAAAACTGCTGAGGGGGTCTCCAACCACCAAGGGGAGGCACCCTCCTGACCATGATTCTGCCCACAGCCCCGCAGCGCCCCCGCAATGCCAGCGGCAGCAGAATGACCAGCTCAGTCTCCAGGCAGAAGTGGTGCCACCTGCTGGCACCTCACGCTCCCTGTCGGGTCCCAGCGTCCCCTCCCAGAGGCCTGGCTCCTGCCGCGCCCCTGTCAGCCTCTTGCCCTCCAGCCCTGTCCTCAGCTGTCCACATTCCTTCCTTCCTTCACCTTTTCCCTCTGGCTAGCCAGTCTGGTCCCTGCACCTGCCCCACAAAGTCACAGGTGAGTGTGTGTCTTGGTGGTCAGGAAGTCCCCTGGGGCGTCACCTCCTCAGCTGACCCAAACTCCACCGGGGGCCTTCACTTCCACGGAATGGAGCCTTCCTCGCCCTCACCTTTCGCCGCAGCCGGCTCTCCTCCCTCAAGTCTACCCTCGGAAGGGGACAACCACCCCAAATACAGCTTCCCCACCCCCTTTCCCCACTCACACCCCTCCTCCCATCCAGCTGCAGGGCTGTTAAATTCACCTCCATGAGACTACTTCCACATTGCTCCCTAGACACAATTTCCCCACCTCCCCTCTCCCTGACTCCCAGCTGACCCCAGGTCCACCCCACCCCGCATCCTGGGTTCTTCCCACAGCAGCCTGGCCTGTCAGCCTGTGTCTTCCCTGATCCCACAGGGCCACCTTTCAGCTTCTCAAACAGCTAGTGCTGTTCCCTGCCTCGGGGCTCCTGCACCTGCCGTGCCCCCTTCATGTCCAGTCCCTCTGCTTCACTTGCCCTCGGCCATGGCCACCGGTCAGTCCCTCCACCCAGCACACGTGGGTTTTCGTGGGCAGTTGTGGGAGGCCCCACGAGTCACTGAGCTTCTCCATGAGGGCAAAGGGGACAAGGCAGATACATCTTTCTCCTGGGCAGCGGGGACGGCCTGCACAGAAGCCCTGTGCCAGAGACAGCGCCTGGGCAGAGAAATGGAGACAGCTGGAGCAGAGGGCAAGGAATGGGCCGAGACAGCCAGCCCCTCTAGAGATGACAGAGGTAGGATGAGGGTCTCGACAATGGCAGGTCCGGGAGCCCAGAGCCACACTGGGCTCTGGAGCAGCCATCGTGTGCCAGCTGTGCCAGTCACAGGCGAGACTCTAGCTTCTCATCGCCAACGCTGCACCTGCATAGCCCTTCCTTCCAGCCAAGCCCTCACAGCAACTGTGTCCTCAGCCCTGGCCACAACCACCAAGATGCCAACCTCAGGGACATCGGCCAGCCTGTCCCTTACACTCAGGTCCTCCCCTGCCCCTGGGAGCCTTCCAGGACCAGCAAGCCAGGTGCTGCGTTCCCATTCCCAGAACCAGGGGTGGCCTGGCTGATCCCTGGGGGGATGGCACAGCAGAACGTGGGGCTGCAATGGATGGAAAGCCAACGGCCCCTGACCTGGGCCAGTCTCACAGTCTCGGCTTCACGCGCCAGCAGGGCTGGACCTGGCTGATACATTTCTAGCACTTTCTACCTCCTCCGGCCAGATGAGATGCAAGCCCAGGACACAAGTGTAGGAGATATATATATATATATATCCATATATGATCAGCGTAAAACATGCACTTGCACTTTCCTTGGGTTTTGAAGAAGGAAGATTATTTCACAGCTCGCTGAGGCAGGTGTTGTAAAAAATTGTTTGCAGTAAATTTTGATGGGGAGGCCTGACCCTGGAGGACGCGGCTCCCCGGGCCCGGCAACTGAGCGGGAGGAAGTAGGCTCAGCTGGAGCCATAAAGTGCACTGGGCCAACGGGAATTCAATGATGTGTTTTAAGAAGTGTCTCTACGGCTCTCACAAGTTGGAGAGCGAGCTGGGGGCAGCAGGCACCCACTGTGAGCGGAGCGGGGCTCCCTGGCAGGGCATCCATCACCTGTGCCCATGGCAACCGGGAGGGCACGAGGGACCTCACGGCTTTACTGTTGGCCCCAGGCCCTCCCTGCCCCCGTGCCCTCTGGTCCTGGCCACACAGGGGCCTGTCAAGGCTGTGTCCCCAGGAGACAAAGCTCAACACTACAATTTCGGCTGGTGGCAGAAATGAGTTGGGGGGAGGGGTGGCTACATCACATGAGCTTGGTCAGGGAGAAGACTCACGGATCCCCAACTGGACAGAGCCCCTGTGTGGGGGCCACACACGGGCAGGCAGCCTGGCATGCGGGGGGGAGACGAGACGGGTTGCCACTGGGAACCTTGCTTTCATCACTGCGCCCTGGACACTCTCCGGGCAGGCACTCCTGGTCCCATTGAATGTGAGCAAACTGAGGCCCGGGCAGTGTGGACACAGCTCCAGGGCCTGCGTGTGCGATGACACCAAAGCACGGGGCTCTACCCACACAAAGTAGGTCAGGGAGAGGACTCAAGGCCAGGTCCTGCCTGTGCTGACCCAGGGGTCCAAAGGCCGTGACAGAGGGCCAGTCAGGACATGCTCTGAGACACACACCGCCAGGCGCTAGCTCAGGGGTGGGGGAGCCTCCCATGAGGGGGTGCCCACCCGTGTGAAGCTGCTTACCAGTCATTGGTGATACCACTGGATGGGGTCGCCATCAGACACATGGTCGCGACACCACCATGCAGCCCCTGACTACACAAAGAGCACATGGCCCCAGCCCACCGTGTCCTGGGCAGGGCAGGCGAGACCACTGACAATGCAGGTGCTTCCAAGGATGGGGAGGGCTGCACAGTGCCCAGGGAAAGGGAGCTGCAGACAGGTCAGAATGGGGGCCACGGAGGACCACTGGGGACTTCCATGGAGCAGGCCACAGCACCTGCAGATAGCTGAGGGAGCAGAGACAGGGATGGGAGCAGAGGAAGAATCCGGGGGGTCCTGCTCAGCCAAGGCATCTACCAGCATAGGATAACTGGAACTGGGGGTGGGCAGGCCAGGCTAGGTCACAGCACCCATCAGTGCTCATGAGAGCCCTGTATGAGGGGAGGGGGTCTGCCAGGGGCTCTTTGGGGTTGCCCTGATCAGGTCACAGCACCCACCAGTGCTCATAAAAACCAGGGCTGGGGGCAGGCTGGGCTGGGCTAAGCCACAGCACCCACCAACTTCAGTGGTGGCCATGTCAGGCTAGGCAGCAGCACCTGCCAGTGTGAAAAGCCAGGGCTGGGGACAGGCTGGTATGGGCTAGACTGCAGTGCCCGCCAGCCTCAGGGTGGGCCATGCCAGGCTAGGTTACAGCACCTGCCAGTGCAGAGAGCCAGGGCTAGAGACAAGCTGGGCTACGCTAGGCCACAATACCTGCTGGTGGAGGTTCTGAGGGGTCACCCCAACTAGGTGACAGCACCCACGGATGTGCACGCAAGCTGAGGCTTTGGGCGGGCTGGGCTGCAGCACTCCCTAGCATGCACAAAGATGAGGACTGAGAACAGCCTTGGTTGCGGCTCATGGGGCTGAATTTAGGTGGTTGCAGTACCCACTAGACAGCATGAGGGCCGGGGCTGGGCTGGGCTAGGCTGTAGTACCTGCCAGTTCCCATGAGAGTCAATGGGGGCGGGGACTGGACAGCCAGCTGCACCCACTGGTACCTGTATTGGCTGGTGCAGGGGAAGGGCTGAACCTGTCCCTGTACCAGCTGGTACACGTGAGAGCCAGTCTAAGGACCCCCACCCCTGGTTATCTTAAGGACTCCCCAGCTAGACCCCTGTACTCTGTCACTGACCTCAAGGAAAATCATATAGACATGTGGCCAGATGCTGGAGCACATGCTGCAGGGCTGGGCCACCTCAGTGGCTGAGCCTCATATAATAATGGAGAACATGGGCCCAGCTAAAGTCCTCACTGTGCAAGCACCAGAATCCCATAGGGGTGTCGATTCTAATACTGATGGCCCTGCTTCCCATCTACCTCCTTGCTTGTGGCCTGGGAAAGTAGTCGAGGATGGCCCAATGCCTTGGAACCATGCACCCAGTTGTGGGAGACCCTAAAGAGGCTCCTGGCTCCTGGCTTCAGATCAGCACAGCTCTGGCCGTTGCGGTCACTTAGGGAGTGAACCATCAGATGGAAGATCATCTTCTCTGTCTCTCCTCCTCTCTGTATATCTGCCTTTCCGATAAAAATAAGTAAATATTTCAAAATAAAGAAAGAAACAAAGAAAAGAGGAGTGGCAAGCACTGGGTGGCTGTCACAGCATGGGCTAGCAGCATGTCCGGGACCCACAACTGTCATGTGACTGCACACCTTGCGCACAAGAAATAAGTGAGGGACTGTCTGGGGGCCTCGCTTAGACCCCAGCCCAGGGCAGAGCCCAGCACAGGCCGCCCTTTCCGCCCTGCAGGGCCCTCAGGTTCCTGGGCAGCAGATGGCCAGACCACACAGGCATGGGGCCTCCTGCAGGGGCTCCTGAATCCCAGGCTCCTAGGGGGAAGTGGCTGCCACAGGCGAGACTAGGCCTTTAGGGTGTCCCGGGCAATGACCCTGGGGTGAAGGCCACAGCCACATCCCGTGACCCAGCTATCTTGTGACAGATTGCGCAAGCTCAGCAAACATCAAACTAGAAGCCCCTTGTGGACAGGGTCCCAGCCACCTGCCTGCTGGCTCTACAGCCCCAGCAGACACCAGCCATGCCACCGGGTGCACATCCCAGCTGCGAGCACATCGGGAGGCACGGGGAAGGGTGCCCGGCTCCCCGGCCAGGGCAGACCCTGGCACTGCAGCAGCTGACTGCCTGCCCATACCCCTAGCCCTGTGCCGCTTGGACACAGCAGGGAAGGCACCCTCCTTGCAAGGACATCTGCCCTGGGTGGCAGAGTGAGTGCGACAGTCTGGCCTGGCTCCTCTCAGATGCTCTCTGATGCCCCTGGCAGGTGTCAATCAATGATTTTCACTACCAGGCACCAGGGCCAGCCGCCATTCCTCTAACCCCAGCCTCATCTGCCCCAGGCCGCCTGTCCAGTCCCACCAGTTGCTCACAGCCAGCCGCCTAGTCTGGGGCTTCTGACAGGGGACCCAGCCAGGATACATCCCAGACAGAACCCTGAAGGGCAGGGGCAGCTGGTGGCCAGGCGGGGCTCTCTGGGGCACCTCAGGTCAGCTTCCCTCCCTTCCCATGCCCAGTCCAGGCCATAGGAAGTATTCTGACCCCTTGCGGGGAAGGGAAGGGGGTGTGGCCAGCTCTCCAAAGTACAGCACCCCAGCTCCACCCTGCTGCCAGCTCCTCCCTCCCGGCCCCCCCATACCCACACTGTGAAATTGGACAGAGCGCTTACATGGCCCAAAGCCAGCAGGGAAGGCAAAAGGGCACCCTGTCACATGCCCAGGAAGGCCTGCCCAGGCCAGGGCAGGTGCGGGCCGCAGAGGCCTGCCTGTGGGTGGGGGAGCCCACTGCCCCTGAACTTTTGAGCCCCCTTGCTGGGTAGCTGGCCCTGGTCCCTTCAAAGCTCCCTCCCCTTTCAACGGTGCCAACTGCTGAGAGCTGGCTAAGCTCAACTCAGCCCTGCCCTAAGTGCCCGTGACCTTGGGGAACAGAGTAGCCCTGGGCTTGTGTCCTTTCTGCACAGTAGAAGGTGGGGGTCCCCCCCCCCAGGCTCTAGAGGGGTGTCGGGTCTTCTCCGGTGGGGCAAAGTGGCTTTCCTCACGCAGCGCCTGCCAGCAACCTGGCCCCGGGCTGCGGGAAGGAGTCAGTGGGGCTGAATCCACGAGGGAGGGGGCGTGGCGCTGAGAGGGGGAGGGGAGCCACTGGTGGGGGGTGTCTCGACTGCCCAGGTGTCCCGGCAGAAGGGGCAAAGTCGGGGCACTCGTCGCCCCGCCCCTCGCCCCGCCCTCGTGCCTCACTTACATTTCGCCTCCTTCCAGTCGGTGGAGGTGTTGAGGTCCACCTTCGCCGCCATGGCCAGGGGAGCCCAGGTGCGCACCCCGGCTCTCAGCCCCACCGCCACCGCCCCCAAAGTCCCAACTCCCGCGGAAGCCCGCGCGCGAGGAGCGAGCGCGCCCAGGCACGCCGGGGGTCCGCCCGCAGTGCCAGGGGGTCGTGGGGCGCCCACCGAGGGGCCGGGCCAGGGGCGCGGGGCGCCGAGTCGCTGCCCCGCCGCGCGCAGCTGTGCCAGGCGGCCGGCCACCCGGCTCGGCAGAGACATGAGCGGGCGGCGCGCGGCGGCTCCCCGCCCACTGGGACTACTATTTACGGTGCCCGGGACAAGTGGCTCCCGTCTTCACTCGGGACCAGGTGGCGGGTGCCCAGCCCCGGGCGACCTGCTCCCAGCCTGCGAGAGACGCCGGCACTCTTACCCGTCCCCCCACACACACCCCGGGCGCGCCGCTGGGCACCCTGGAACTTGTAGTTCGGGCCACCGGCCGGGCCGGCGCACTCGTATGCACACGTGCGCGCCCCGCCTGACCTCCGCCTGCGCCCCCGTGTCGCCTCGCGCGGCCGCCCTGCGCCGCCTGGGCGGTTCCGCGTCGCCCGCCGCCCTGGGGCGGGGGTCTCGAGTCCCCGGCCGTGCCCGCGGGCGCCCTCCGCATCTCTCCGCGCCCCGTCCCGCATGCTATGGAGAGCCGAATGAGGCCCCGATGGAGCCTAGAGTAGCGCTGCCAGAAGAGGGTCACCCGGGCCGGCCATCTCCAGTCCCCAGCCGGTCTTAGGGCTGGGGGAGGGGGAGTGACAAGTGTCTTGGTTCTCTAGTTGCTGCCCCAAACTGAGAGATGCCTCCTCCTAGCCCATCCAGGCAGAGGCATGGCGTTAGATAGTGGAAAGTGGAGGCAGGGAACTCAGTTCTAACGGACTGTCTCTGGTGGAAAAACAGGGTGCTTTGTTTCGTTTTTTCCAGAAGCTGAAGCCGGTTCGAATCCCGATTACCCCACTTCGGTACTGGAGCCCCTTAGTGGGTGGGGGACCCAGAAGAATCTCCTGACTCCTGGTTTTGGATTGGTTCAGCTCAGCCCATTGGGGCCATTTGGGGTGTGAACCAGCGGATGAATGATCCTTCTCAATCTGTCCTTTCTCTCTGTAACTATGTCTTTCAAATAAAAATAAATCTTAAAAACTAGAGTGACTGATTCACAGAGAGCCCAGCTACTTGAGCCCGCACCCTGACCAATGCCTGTGGAGCTAACTTCTGTCACAACCCAGGCCAAACACCTGTCTCTGGCTTTCTAATTCTATGACTTTTTACAAAGACTCCCAGGATGGATTTTAAGTCCAGCTACGATGGTATTATAAGATGAATATTGTTGGATGAGCTTTGGAACCTGACTGCAAGTGCCCTGGCCCCTGTGAAGACCTGACCTCTAGGTGACTGGCGTGCTAGCTTAGCAGGCTGCACAGCTACTTACCAAAGAAGTCACTAAGAGGGTCCAACATTGTGGTGTAGCGAGTTAGGGCTACTGCCTGTGGCACTGGCATCCCATAGCTCATGTGCTGGCTGCTCCACTTCCCATCCAGCTGCCTGCGAAAGTGGTAGAGGACAGCCCAAAGCCTTGGGACCCAGCACCCTCGTGGGAGATCCAGAAGAAGCTCCTGGCTCAGCTCCAGCCTCTGCGGCCACCTGGGGAGTAAACCAGCAGATGGCAGATCTTTTTCTCTGTCTTTCCTTCTCCCCATAAATTTGCTTTCCCAATAAAAATAAATAAATCTTAAAACAACACTTTGGTGTATATGTTTATTTGTTGTTCTGTAGTTGCTTCCTCAAAATGCCCACAAGAGGTATATGGGGCTGCCCCAAAGCTGGGAGCCAGGAAGACAAACCACATTCCCCGGGGTGTGGTGGGAACCCAGTGACTTAAGCCACTGGCACACAACCAGGGTGTGCTCAGGCAGGGAGCTGGAGCCAGGAGCGGAGGCAGTCCTGATCAGCGCGGCCAGGGCACGGATCTCCACTATGACCTGAAGTGGGCATGAGACGCCTGAGTCTGCCTGCTGCACACAGGCCCCTGGGCTCCTGGACCATGCCTCTGAGGGTGGCAATGGCCCTGGAGGGCCGGAGTTTCCAGACACTCCAGCCAGACCCTCGGGCGAGGCACCCGCAGCTGCGGTATCCAGGCTACACAGGCAGAACAAAGAGGAGCAGTGAAAGGAGGGCAGGCTTCAATGTCCCGCACACCAGTCTTGAAAATCCACCTGTCATTTGCATATCAAATGTCCCACCCCTACCTTGTAAGAAAAGTCCAGGTCAGAGGGCCGACAACCAGGCATCTTTCTGCCTTCCCTCCCCAACCCCCTGCACCGCAGGATGAGGAATTTTATACCCAGGAAATTTTTGCCCACTACTTCCCAGGGAGGAAAAACGGGAGGCAGCTCACTACATATCCACAGAGACCCTGGTGTAAACACATTCTACTTCCTGTGCAGTTGCCCACCTGGCCTGGCAAGTGCACTGTGTCACTGCAGGTCACTAGCTTGCCCATTGCTGGTCTCTGGTGGCTGAAGGCCTCTGTCACCAGGAGAGACAAACAACGGCAGCTGGCACGGGAGACACCTGACTAGGGCACTGCAGTGCTGCTGCCCAGCTAAGCCCACCCCCTACGCCACTCACACCCCTCCCTTAACTTTTGCTTCTCAGCAGCTCCCAGAAGCAGTCCTGCCCTGTCCCCGGGGATGTAACTTAACATGACCGTGCCCATTTTGGCTGTAACCACCATCTTGCCCTCCAGGTGACCCTGGCTGTCACCCCAAGCCCTCCAGTGCCAACAAGGTTGTGCAAACAAGTTTCTGTGTGGCAGGGTGGGTAAAGCGGCACAGTGAGTTAAGCCGTAGCTTGGCACACTGCATCCCATGTCACAGTTCCTAGTTCAGATCCTGGCTGCTCCATACTTCCAATCCAGCTTCCTGTTTATGCACTTGCCCGAGTTCTTGGGCCAAGCTACCAATGTCACAGATCTAAATGGAATTCCTGCCTCCTACAACTGTGCCCTGCTCAGTAGAGGACATCCAAGGCAGGGGGCCCTGCGCAGGCCGTGACCCCGGACTCTGTGGGCTCCCGCTTGGTAAGAGCAGCCACCTCCTGCAGTTTGGGCTTCAGTCACCGTTGTGGTTATGAAACTGATATATCAAAACCCAACCAGCTTTTCTTAAACACGCCAGTGCAACTTGCAAATCTAGTTTCCTATTTATAAATCCAAGAATTTTGCGTAAAAATAAGAACAACTGCCTTTACTCATGTTTTGATGAATATTTAATTAACTCATAAATGCAACGGATTAAATGCTCTCCTACAAATGAATGTCAATTACCAACATAGGTAATTAAATGTCCTAATACTCTGTGCTCTCCAACCCCCTGAACTCCCAACGAAGGAGACACACACTGAATGAGAACAGTACTTCTTCCACATCTGACACATATCATCTTCTCTCCCCAAGTAAGGCCTGTAACATGCATTAAAAAAAAAAAAAAAAAAAAACATGTGAGGTAGACCAGTTCTCCAAACACTTAGCGATCAGGACTTCCATCATATTCACTGGTTGCTGTGTAATTCACCACTGAATCCCAATAGGTTGAGTCCCAACTGTTGTGATCACTTGGGGCACGCACCAGCAGCTGGGTGGAAGATCCCACTCTCTGTCTCAAAGAAGTAAATTTTCTTAAAAATTTTATTTTTATTGCAAAGTCAGATATACAGAGAGGAGGAGAGACAGAGAGGAAGATCTTCCATCCGATGATTCACTCCCCAAGTGATCGCAATGGCTGGTGCTGTGCCAATCCGAAGCCAGGAGCCAGGAGCTTCTTCCAGGTCTCCCACACAGGTGCAGGGTCCCAAGACTTTGGGCCATCCTCGACTGCTTTCCCAGGCCACAAGCAGGGAGCTGGATGGGAAGTGGAGCTACTGGGATTAGAACCGGTAGCCATATGGGATCAAAACTGGAGCCCATATGAGATCCTGGCGCATTCAAAGCAAGGAATTTAGCCACTAGGCCACCGTCCCGGGCCCAAAGAAGTAAATTTTTGGATAGCACAAAGGGGATGCAGAATGTGGTCTCTGTCCTGGGGGAGACCAGAGTCTGGCGTGGGAACGCATATCACCAACAAGGCACCCCACACAAGGCAGGCCACGTGCAGAGCTGGGACGGATGTACTGATGTATTGTGCCGGATTTTGATATCGCCAGAAAAATCATCAAGTCTGAAGTCGGTGCTAAGGCATAAAGGTGGTTTATTCAGGTTAACCAGGTCTCCCAGGCACCTCCCCCAGCAGGGCTGGGCGGGGGAGGAGCAGCCGCAGCCGAGGCTGCTGCAGGTCGGCAGGGAGGGCAAAAAAAAAGGAAGAGCGAGTCAGAGAGCCGCCCAGTTGAACAGCCCAGCATTCTTATACATTTCAGGCTATTAATTATACAGTCATGACTTAGCAGGCTTCTATTGGTGGATTTGAAACAAGCAACTTTCAAAAAGTACAAATTGATAAGCTATTGGGCTGTGAATCTTATCAAACACCAGGTACCTCCTTCCTGAGGAGTGGTCTGCCTACGTGACCTGCCAGGTGTCCTGCTGGGTGTCACGTAGACTATCAGGCCTGGAGTTCACACAGCCCCCAGCCAAGCCATTAAGGCAGAATCACAAAAGGCAGAAAACACCTAGGTTCTTCAGATGCACTGGATATGGGAGCAAAACCAAGGCACCTTCCAGGGCTCCAGGCTGAAGCCCGGCACAGCAGGGCTAGCACCAACCAAGAAAGCCAAGAGGCAGGTGGGCAGGTGGGCTACGGGCGGCCTAGGCACCTGAGTGAACAGAGCAGCGTGGGGCCCAGGCGTGGGAGGGCAGTGGAGCACAGGGCTGGCTGTCCACGAAGGTGCCGTTCTGCCGTTCTGGGACCCCCAGCAGCTGGTGTGGGCAGCTAGGCCCTGGACCACCCCCCAGAGCAGTAACAGCCAGTGTCCTGACCACCCAGTGGGGCAAACCTCCCCCCTCCAAGGAGAGGAAGTTCTTTGCTACTTCATTTCCCCATACCCACTTACCCCAAAAATCTGAATCCCTAATCCAGTTTAGCAGAAGAATGGCTCAGGAAAGTGGGGGAGTTAAAATATCCCTAGGGGCGGGGCCTAGCAGAGCTCTGGTGGCAGCCCTGGCTGCTCTCTGCAGATTCAGCCTCTGCTAAGAGATTTTGGGAAGGCAGAGGAAGAGGGCTGAAGGCTTGGGCCCATCACACACTTGGAGTTCCAGCTCTGTCTGGCCATTGCAGCCACATGAGCAATGAGCCTGTGGATGGAAGATCTCCCCCACCCTGTCACTGCATTTCAAATAAAGAAAAAAGTTTTAGATGTATTTTA